CCCGGATCATGCGGGTGGCCCTCCTCTGGACCCTCTCCATGTTGTCCACATCCCTCCTGAAGTGGGGCGCACAGAACTGGACACAATACTCCAGCTGTGGCCTGACCAGCGTCGCGTAGAGGGGGAGGATCACCTCCTTGGCTCTACTCGAGATGCAGGCTCGGTGGGCTTCCAGAGCCCTGTGCACCATCCCCACCGCGTTCTCTGGCCCCCAGCGCACAGAGCTGCCCTTCTGCTACCTTCCTGTGCTGCTCCAGGGGTAAGCCAAATCAGTCCTGGGTGGTTTCAGGCAGCAGGAGGGCAGCAGGGACAGTGCACAGGGTGCTGAAAGCCCCAGTGGGCTTGGGGAAGAGGTGTATCCAGCCAAGTGATTCCTCCAAGCTGGGACAGCATCTGGTCCACTAACAACGCACTGGGGTGGTCCTAGGAGGCACTGCTGCCACGAAGGAAAGGACCAGGGTCCCATGAAGCTCAGGATCCACTCGGCCCATCAGCTGTGCGCGCGCTCGGTGGCAGACTTCCGGTACACTTCTGGGTTCACCACCTAGCATGTGGGCCCCCCCCCACGCTCCTGTGGGATGCTCCATCCACCTCAGCATTGCAGCATTCACAAGCCATGCCTGGTACCTCGAGGTATGTTGAAAAAACATTTAAAGCTGTGTCTATAGCTGAATTCAGATTCAGATTCAGTCAAATCAAATTGGGACAGTCATCTGGATCAATGAATCAAATCCTGATTCAGGCCAAATTCGAATCCAAATTGAATAAGACCTGTTTCACACACCTCTAGCATTTATACATGGGGGACTGCTCATTTGGTTGTCCTGATGCCAAGGGCAAAATACATGGCTCCAAACCTCCACTTACACCACACTCTGTGCCTCATATAATTCTCTTGGCCCCTTACTGGGCCAAACTCAGTCCTGTGCTGAGCCTCACTCATACCACCTGTAGCAGGGCCACACTCGCTGTGCCTCATTCACACTGCCCCTCTCTGGGCCTCAGTCACACTGTCCCATTCTGTATCGCCTTTCAGGACCATGCAGACTCCCTACTCTATACAGCCTTCAGGCTTCATCTCTTGCACTCTTGGTCCTGGCTCTTTGCAGACTTTCAGGCCACCCAATTTAGACCCTACTCTGCGACGGGGCATCAGGCCTAGCGCTCCATGCACTGGGCTGATTCCGGCCCCTGGTCCTCTCTGGCCTTGGGGATCTCAAACCTGGCCTCCAGCCCACTCAGGCCTCAGGTGTCTGTTGACATGTCTGAACCCCAAGCCTGCCCTCTGTATGGGCTAACCACCAGGGCATGGGGGCTGAGGGTATATGAGGCTCCATCCCTGCCTTTCACTGGGGAGGCACAAGTGTGGCGTTTCCTGGAGACTGCCCCACCACGGGCAGCTCCACCACACCATCCAACCCCAGCAGGGAGCAGTTTCAGGTCTTACCCAGAACCAGGAACCTCCTCCATCCCCATGGTTCGTACCCTAACCTCCAGGTGTCCGGGAGCTGCTGTCTGCGGGCTGAGTGATGTTGGTCCTCTGGCTCCCGAGGTGTAACTGCTGGCTTTACCCTTAGGGCCTCGGCTTATACTGAGGCTGCCCGGCCCTCCTCCAATCCAGGGGCCCCTTTCAGTTATGTGACCATCTAATTGGGCCAAACCATCCCTGCCAGCTACTCAGAGCCTGCCTGAAACCTCTTAAAGTGGCAGGTACAACCTGTGCTCTGTCACACACGTACACATGCCCTAAACTAACATCCTAGAGCCCGTTCGCTCGTGATTGCTGGATCGCAGTGTTTCCCAAGCACGACATGAACATTCTGGGAAGAATACAGATGACTAGAAACTGTTTCCCAGATGTCATTTTGCCAGCTAGTTTGTATTTTCAAGCCGTGTTGGGCTATTCCATGGCGGTTATCAGACTACAGGAAGAACAAAGCTATGGCAGCTACTGTATTTTGTCCGCATATTCCGTTTAAGCGTTCATGGAACTTGATGTTTTCTCATCGCACATATTTTCACTGAGAAAAAAGTGGTGGGACTTACAGCTGCCTGTAGTTTTCTTGAAACTCGCAGGGGTTTCTCTCGAGTATGAGGGATTCTAGTGGAGTATATTTCAAGTCTGATATTCCACTTAATGTCTCAATGTTGTTTTCAGCTAGTGCCAAGCGCTGAATCTGAGGCATCTTTGGCAGCTGTTTGAAGGATGTAAAATGATTTTTACTGATGTTTAATTCTTTGCATCTGTAAAGTACAAAAACAGATGCTATCATTTACTATGTAAACAGGAAATGTTCTGGGAAAAAAAACAAACAGGCATAAAGTTTGGATCCACAGCTAGTTTAAATCAGTAAGTTTATTGACCTGATGGATACAGGATTTCAACTTTCAGCAGTCTGATTCTGATTTTGTTTTATACTGTTGTAATTGCATTAGTATTTTTGCCTAAACAAGGACTGCAAGATTAGTTCATTAGAGTTCATATTTTTCTTTTGCACTTCATAATAGCTGGACCATTATCCCCCATTCCCAATGTTACCATGACCACAGCAATCCATATTTTTGACGATTGTCCATTGTCTCTGTGTACATTTCCTCTCACTGACCTGGTATGGCAATCTTTCCTTTTAGCAGGTGCCACTGCTGACTTTGATGGGACCACTCATGGAGTAAGGGTCTACTCAGCAAGAATCTGACCCAGATGGTTTTTCAGTTTCTTTAGCTATCGTCAGCTCAGGTTAACAGTATGGATTTTTGATTCAATTATATAAAAATAGTGTATTTTGTCAGCCACCAAGGTCCTAATTCTGTCTCTACTGAAGTCAGTTGCGCAACCCCCTTTTATGATGTCGGATAAGACCTGGAAACAATTTTTACTGTCTACCTTGGCAACCTTATGGCACTTAGGTCTGTCAAAGAATTGTCCACCAACCAAAGCCTTTCAACTCGAATTAACCTCCTTAGAATCCTCTTAAAGTTATCCACCTGGTAAAGGTCTCCCAAGTCCTGAAATGAAAGGTTCAAATTCTGGGAATGGAAAAAAATAACAGACTTTAATTTAAATTATTATTTCTTTTCTGTTAAATGGTAGTTATTAAATCATTACACTGGTCTACCTAACACATAACAAAGTGCCTAGAACTGGTGTTCTCTTATCTAGATAAATTACTGGATCATGTCTGTCATCAGAAATTCAGCCTCCATCTTTATCTTTTTCTTGTCCAACAGCCCCCTCCTTTCCCTATATTCTCCAGCAAAGGACTCCTCCTAATTTCTTTTAATTCACTCTCAGCTTCATTTCTTTTCCCATAATTTCTCTTATTGTATACAACACTGTCCCATTGTCACGCGGACCCTCCCAAAACCAAGTCCTTTATAATTATAAAGGCCACTTTACTCAATGGTGTAGATAAGGGGTTTTCAACCTGTTTTAATAAGTGTACCCCCTGGCAGCTGGACATGGAGCGGGGTTAAGCGGGGAGGGAGAGGGTGGCATGTGGCTGGATGCAAAGTGGTGGCAGCGTGGGGTGGTGGATGAAGGCTGCTGCCACCATGTGTAAGCTTCCCCCCCCACCCCAATGTCTGCATCCAACCAGCTGGGCAGTGCCTGTGCAGCTCACAGTGGGGCACTGCTGCCCTCACCCTGCTCCGGCCTGGCCCTGTGCCTGGGAGGCGGCAGTACGGGGTGGTAGGTGGCAGTGCTCTGTCCCCGCCCGCTTGTGCATACCCCTAGGGCCTTCCCACATACCACAGGGGTACACGTACCCCTGGTTTAGAGTGTGCATTTAGGCAGGGGGAAACACACAATCTGTACTATTCAAAAACATTGTGCTTCAGGGCCCTGCCACATGTTCAAATTAAAGCTGGATACAAATCAGCTACAGTGTTGTTACACATTGTCAAGAACTAACTCTGGAGCTGGTAGGCTCTTGTTATAGCTGGATAGTTATTTTTATGGTGGGATAATTACTTTGCACTTGTGGCCAGTCTTACTTCGCATGTGTGACCAGTCTAAATTTACTGAGCAATTAACCAACTAGTTGAGTAACATATGTAACAAGTAGCAGGGGCCTCAGTGTCACAATTCCTGGCTTGCATCCTTCTTGCTACAGAGAGACAGTAATTTACTGCTGACCAATACCAGCAATTAATTAATTTCCTGACTCCCTACCACAGTGGTTCAAGCACTCTTATTAGTAGGTGCTAAAGGGGAAAGGGTTAGTACAAACCTTTGTTCTCTGCCTGTTCCCTGCGCATTTTATACTCATTTATTTCAAGAAGGCAAGTAGCCTCACTAACTTCTCTGTACCCAGGCCCAAAGTATCTGGCCAGGCCCCTTATTCCTTGCACAGGGGCCTAGTCCAAACTACAGATCTAGCCCAGTCAGTCTAATGTACTTTATTGTTCGAGCCTTACTTCTCAAAATGTTAGGCATTAAGAACACGGGCTGTGTTATTTGTTTGGCCTATCAATCATACAGTTCAGAGTACATGAGGCTATACCATAAATAATTACAATAACAACAACAACAACAACAACAACAACAATAATAATAATTCCTTACACTACAGTTTTCCCAGTTCTCTTGACATTTCTGTTGCCATTTCTCTTTTTCTGTCGTTTGTTTTCTGGCTTGCAAAATATGCCCTTCTCCTCTGAAGAACAGCTCTTCTTCTAAAGGCCCTGTTCAGAAAAATATGTGTTTATGGTAACTGATATCCCATGGCATCTGTATTTAGTTACTGACTGAGACAATATATGTGTTTGGAAAGGTATTTGAGATAAAATAATATACTTGATATTATGACAAAAATGTCAGGGCTTGGGTGAACCTGGCAGCCGCCTTGGGCTCTGACAGAAAGGTGGCCTGAAAATGGTAATTTTTTTCCGTTGTCCAATTATTATTATCATTATCTCTGGCAAAGGGGGCCCTGGTATTAAAAGTACACCTGGGGCTGCCAGGAGTCTAGGTACAGTGCTGGATAATGTAGGTTCTCAGCTCCGAGTTGTAAATAAATTGGGAGATTTTCTACTTAATCATTTGTATTAATTCAACAATCTGAGGTCATTGTAAGTGGGCACACTTCTATTAAATTACATGTCCTATTCAACTCTGTGCTAAATAAAATACTTTATTTCAATGGTAAACTTTAGGCATCAAGGTTTGAAAATATTTGCTTCTACTGGCTAGGCTGCAGTACTGCAGAGAAGGATCTGGGAAGAGACTATCAACTGAATATGAGCCAACAGTGTGCTCTTGTTGCAAAAAAAAAGCCAGTGGCATACTGGGTTTTATTAAACAGGAGTGTTATGAGCAAGTCAAGGGAAGCTGATTTTTTCATTTCATTCAGCACTGGTGAGGCCTCACCTTGAGTGTCCAGTTTTGGACCCCACATTTCAAGAATGAGTACAGTTTGGAAAGAGTCCAGTGCAGAGCAACAAAAATAATTAGTGGCCTGGGAGGCAATACTTATTTATTCTGGAGAAAAGAAGACTGATGGGAAGACCTGAAGGGCGATTACAGAGAAGATGGAGATGGATTTTTCTGTAGCTGCAGTGGATAGGATGAGGAGCAATGGCCTCAAGCTGCAGCAGGGGTAATTTAGGCTGGAGATTAGTGGGAGCCTTCTGACTATGAGGGTGGTCAAGAATGGGAACAGGTTACCTAGAGAACCGTGGAATCTGCATCCTTGGAAGTTTTCAACAGCAGATTGAACAGACACTTGGCTGGGATGGTTTGGTCCGGGATGATCCTGCCTTGAGCAGGGGGCTGGGCTAGATAACCTTGTGAAGTCCCTTCCAGCTCTGCTTTTCCATGATTCTACGATACTAATTTCATTCATGTTACGCAATATAAGATCAGACAATACTGAGCAGCAGTGTGCTGAACCTTTACTTTTTAAGAGTTAGGGATGGATGTGCAACTCACGAACCATGGACCAAAGTTACAAGTGTTTTTTATGATTGTTCTGACCACTTGAGCATCCTTATTTGGAACAGCCCTTCAATATATGCTTAAGGTTCATTGAATCAATGGGACTATTCACATAAAGTTATGCATATATTTAAATTCCTTGCTGCGTTTCCATTTAGGTTCCAGTTTGCATTAGGTTACTGATACAAATACTCACCTAATTTTAAACATGTGCTTAACTGGACAGTTGTAGGGGGTACAGTAGGGCCCCACATGCATAAAAGTAAGCAGGTATTACTGTTTCAGGGTTGGACTTTGCATACTGTGTGCTGTCTGTTATCTCCTGTACATATGTATCTGTGATACATTTTATATAATAGTTAAGGTCAGTGTACTTAAGAAGAGCACAAGGTAAGCAGTAATTCTGAAATTGTAAAAAAAAACCCCAAAACCCCTCAAACAACCCAAAAAAACAGCTTTGGTGCTATTTATCTTTACAGTACATTGTCTGGATGGTTTTTAAAAAGAAATCTAAAAATAGAGGGGTGAAATCTTGACCCTACTAAAGTCGATAGCAAAACTTCCATTGATTTAAGTAGAGCCAGGATTTCACCTCGGCAATTAAAAATTGTTCAGATAAAGTACTTAGGATTTAAGACTTTAAAGTGAATCCATCTTTTCTCAAAGGAACGCATTTTCATCTTTACCTTCCCTCACTCGGGGGCAACGAATCTGATTTCCTCTAACGTCATGTTCTTCTAACTCATGCCAAATAAGATATTTGAAGGAATCTGAGGGAAGCTTAAAGAAAGGATGCAAAAGAAAGGATCAGTTAATGGGCTTAAATATTTGGCAGTATCTTCCTACTTATACAAAACCCAATGGCCTTATTCCAGTACAAATAATATACACACATGCTCACATGCTTGATGAATGCTTATGGTTGAGATATGTTGTAATTATGTCTGGTGATGATGAACTGCTCCTTCAAACTCGATTATAAAATGGCACATGAACAAGAGGGTTGTGTGTCTGTGTGCATGTGGGGGGTGGGGAGGAAGTGTGTGCACAGGCTTTAAATTCAATTTAAGACATCTAAGTGGAAGCAGAGAAAATATGAGAAGACTAAGAGGGGATTTGATAATGGCCTTCAAATACAGGATGTACGGTTATAAAAAGGATGGTGATAGCCTATTCTTTGTGGCTGCAGGAGACAGGACAAGAAGTAAGTCTTAATTTGCAATAATATAAATTTAAGTTGAATATTAGGAAGAACTTGCTATCAATGTTTAGCTAAAAAGGTTGTGGGAACTCCTTAGAGTTTGGCTGTTTTAAGAGGTTAGATAAACATTTGGCTGGGATGGCTCAGGCAGGGATATTCCTGTCTTGACCAGGAGGTTGGACTGGATGACTTCCTGAGGTCCCCCCCTGCCCTATTTTTCTATGATTCTATATGCCATTTGTCTTCCTATCAAAATTTGCTTTGACCAGCAGTCTTAGGGAGGAGTTACAGCCTAGAAGTATGGTCTTCAGTTTATCCATTGCTGGCTCAGCGATAGTCCCCATGCACAGCTGCAAACACTGAACACTCCTAGGCTGCATCCAGATGAGCACAGCTATGTGGTATGTGGTGCAATAGATATGTCTGCAGTACCACATACCACAGAGAAAAAAACCTGCAGAGAAAAAAAAAGTGGAGTGTTACACACGGCGGCAGCGTGTGCTGCCTGAAGCCAGAGCCTGGCTGGCCGGAGCCATATCCTGCTGCCAGCCAGGCTCTGTGCGGCAGGATCTCCACTGCTGCAGCCCCAGGAGGCCCCCAGGACTCCTGGTAAGGTTTCTGGGGCCAGCCCCGTGCTGGCCCCAACCTCCCCTACCCAACCTGGGGTAACTTGCCGCACGCCAGTGCATGCGTGGCATAGGCGTTCCCCAGGGACAACTAGAAGTGGCGCACAGTGTGCTGCCACTAGTTGTCTCTGAGGAACCAAATGTCCACACCTGTCTGGATGCAGAGGCTAACTGGATACAGCATCATCTGCAGTCTTGCAGCACATGCAATATATTTTATAGCATGGATCTAAACCCATTTATAGGGTGCTTCATGGGTCATCTGAGTAGGCATGCATTGCCCAGAATCTGGCCCACTGTGCCTATCTAGGAATATAGGACTGGAAGGGGTCTCTTGGGTCATTGAGTCCACTCCCCTGATGTTGCAGGCAACCATGTTCTTTCATAAACTCATCAAACCCTGGAGGCTAAATAGGACAGAATGGATTCCTTCGAGTCTTGTCTAGCCATAAAAGCACTGTCCATGTGTGTTTCTCTTCAATACACATATAACCAGACAGGTATACAAAACACTTACTGGTGAAGATATCCCTGACTTGTGGCTGTGTTGGATTATTTGTCTGTTGCGTGATAAAACCAGCAGAGGAGTATTTGTACCGTTTAGCACAGTGCAGTTAGAGGAATGGGGTTTACTGAGTTGAAGATTGCACGTATTCAGACCTGAGGAACTAATCAGACAAGATTTTAAACCATTAACACGCTTTTTCAAGGGACTGGGAAGCAGAGAGTTTTATGGACAACATAAAACAGAGTAGCAAGGTTCACCTTTAATATACTTTAAATTGTAACTGAAACTTAATGTGTGATTGGACTGTGTTCACAGGACCCTGGGGTATACATAGAGTTTAAATCAGTGAGTTGGCTTACCTGAATACAGTTACTTCCATGCATAAATGTTTACAGAATGGGTCCCTAAAGAGGGGGCTTGTATTAGCAGTTTGTAATCAGAATTCACATTGAAAACAATGGGGAATTGTGCTTGTTCATCAGTGGCATGATATTACTTGGTGTAGTTACTTATACTTCAAGCACAGTTCGTAAGAAAGATGCCCAGGTCCCTACAACCCTCACCCCCTCTCCTCCCAAAAGCTACATTTTCCTCCCATCTGTAAATTTTGGCAAAGCAGGTGGGCTCCAGGCTAGAACTGAACCTCTTGAATAACTCCAGACATGAATATTCAAACCACTGGGTTTATGTGCTTGGCTGGACCTACACCCAAGAACATTTTTAAGGGTTTTATTTGACAAATAAATGGAAATTTCTCAAATTGTGCTTCAAAGCGAGCAAACATCTCCCAAGCCCACAGCTGCAATTTAGAAATCTACCATGGAAAGCTTTGGAAAAATTAGTTTAACTTAGTAACTGTGTGGATACAGTATAATAGCTTGCCTGTTCCTCTACAAGCTCCGTGAGCTGTCAAGAAACATCATTAAAACAATTACACACAGGAAAAGAAATGAAGAAATAAAATGTGCAGCTTTAAAATGCTCTAGTGAGGATGGTAATGAAAGTTTTATGGTGAGCCAGAGTGTATCAGACAAGTTAAGTAAAATAGAATAAAATCAGGATTACATAGCTATTTCAAAATAATCATGAATAGACTTGATATTGCCCTGCTAAGATTTTCCATCTTTCTTTTTAAGCATCATCAAAAACACATCTAGTATCTTGTCTGATTTTGATCTGATAGCTCGGAATGTCTTTGCAACAGGCAAATGGCAGAAGAGAAATGTATGTTACTATTGCTTCTACCTCATTCTTTTTATTTATGGGCTTGAGAGAGGAACAATAACCAAAGGGTGACTTGGAAGGAAGCCCTGTGTGTTCAGCATTTCTGAAAATGTAACTATTTATTTTGGTGCTTTCAGGTATCATCTTTAGACAATCAGGTAATGAATGCTTTTGCACATTTTCATATATGCCTACTCAGGAAACCCATGAGGTAGTGTCATCCTGTAAAGAAGAGGGAGTAACTATTAGCAGGTGGTAAATGTTTGCTGAAGACTACTGACCAGACCTCCTAAACTGGTTTTATGTTATTGCTGCCTGGAGGTCGCACACACTCTTGATATACTGCAGGTTAAATAAGGCTACGTTAGAGAGGAAGATATATAGAAATGGTTTTATAGTTGTGGGTCGGGTCTGTTACATTTGTGTGGAAATGTGAATACTTCACATGAAGTACATGATACATTGTTATGTAATTCCAGTGGTGATATTTGGGGCTTACAGATAACAATGATAAAAATAGTTAATTTTTTTAAATCAGTGGAGAAATGGACCTTTTGGATATCACTATTACTGACATGCCCTCACTGGGGCACTGCAGTCACGAAAGAACTTGGTTTTCTTTGAACGTCCTTGCACACATCGTAACTTGAAATAATATTGTGTGTGAAATTTTTTCAGTTAATGTCTCTCTCATGAAAAAAGACTGTTTAGAAACCAAGGCTGTTTTTTTATGAAACAGCTGCATCTCTGAAAGCATTTCCCATACTGCCTACAAACCTGGCTTGAAAGGATAAACCTCCAAAGACTGGCATCCACAAACTCACTTAGCCCATAGTTGAAATGGCCAGTATAGGTCATATACACCTGTCCGTCTAAAAACTGTAATAATACTAAGCCAGTTTTTTAGCTGGTGTACACCAGCAGAGCTCCACTACTATCTGTGGTGATTTAAACAGGATTGGGATGACAGTTTACACAGGGTTAGCATTTGGCCCACTGTTTACTACCAGGTGGTAACAGCTTTTAAACATTACCAACCTGGAGGGTGTGTTTACACATGCATTTGATGTGGGAACAGTTTACTTGTGAGCAAGTAAATGCTCCCAGGCAGGCATCCACACATGCAGAGAAGTGGTAGCAGATTTGCTTCTAATGGCAGCAAAGTGCTCCCGCTTCCAGGGGTCCTGCAATAGGCCCCTGCCACCACCAGGGGGAGCTTTAGGTTAGCCCAGGGGCCAGCAGTGAGCACGAGGCCTGGAGATTATTGTTTCCTGGCTGGGGCTGGGCAGGGCTGGATTAACCCCTTAGGGGTCCCTAGGCAAACAAATTTGTGGGTCCTGGGCTGGTTGAGACCCACATCCCCACCCTGGCACTGCTGGCCATGGGGAGCAGGGCTCAGAGATGCCACTAGGAAGCAGCTGTTGTGGTGGTGAGGCTGGCAGAGGGGAGGGAAAGGGAAGGGAAGGAAGTGGACGTGGCCATTCATGCTGCCACTGCGGAGGGAAGGACTGGACCCTCCACAGCTCAGGGCCCTAGGCATGTGCCTAGCTTGCCTATGAGTTAATCCAGCCCTAGGGTTGGGACATCACACCCTGACCCTGGGGGCTGACTGCTGCTGGGCCAGGGACAATGTCCCCCTTCCCAGACAGCAGGGAGCTCCTGGCCCTGGCTCCCAGATCAGGGGCAGGGGACTGAAAAAGAGCTGCAGGCAGTGGCAATGCGTAGGAGATTCACAGGGGTGTATGTGCACCCCCTGACAGACCACACTCCCCACTTAGGCAATGGGCAGGTGGGTACACTGGTGTCCCACTGCGAGCACTAGCTAGGGAGTGGAAGTACCAGATGAAGTGCCGTGGCCACTTCTGGGAGTGCTGTGGCCACTTCTAGCAGCGCCATGGCCACTTCCTGGTTGGTGCAATCAGCCACAGAAGACCCACCTCCAGTCGCTGACTTGTCACTGGGGGGGTATGTGGTCCCCTTGACTAAGGTGGCACCAGTCACTCGTGGCTGCAGGGGACATGTAGCTGGCACTGGGAGATAAGGATCTCCCTAGCCCCCATTCCCCGATTGTGATCTTGGAGTTGGGGGCTTGGAGTCCCTGTTGCCGGGCAGGGGGACACAGTCCCTGGCCTGGGCTCCTGTGGCAGAGCCCAACACCCTGGCAGCAGACAGCTCCTGGGGCACAAAGCAATCTCTGCCCCATGGTGGCCGGCTGCCTGGGTGGATATTTGCACCTGGTCAGGCGTCTACATGAGCGCTACTGCTCAGTAAGCAATCACAAGTAAATTTGCTGCTTGTATTTGCAGGTAGCAAATTCACTTGTGATTAGGAAGGTTTACTGCACACTAAGCATGTGCATGTGTGGACACACATGCTTCCTGGGTAGTAAACTACATAACTGCGCAGTAAAGCATGTCATGTAGGAGCACCCAGAGTGGATTTGAAGCATGTCCTACTGTTAAAATCTTGTAAAAACTCCAAAGCCTGGAAATCTGGTATTAAAACTAAATATCCACTCATAGCTCTTAACTTCTAGCAGCTGTCATTACTTCTACTGTAGAGTCCTCAACAATTTATTGTAGAAATCTGCTGCTGAATTGAAACAGAAATCCAGAAGCAATGTCTGAAAGCTAGGACCCACCTGACTTTTCAGGTCCTTCCCTGTATACCCAATGATTTCAGAAAGTTTAAGCTAGACCTCAAACATGTTAATATACATTTGCTCAGAGAATAAGGTGAACACTGATTTCTCTCTCTGTCTCGCCCTCTTTTTTTTACTACTACCACTTAGACTTGATCTAAAGGAAATTGCAATGAAAGATACAGTTTCAAAATAGTTGTAGCTCACAATACATGAAACTAACTAAACTTTTGCAGTAATTGTGGGGCCTGTTGGCTGGGTATGCCTCTCCACTGACACTTTTTGGAGCAGCACACTAGATTATGTCACCCATTACAGGAAAAGAAACCCAACAGATTCATGCTCTTTGTCCAGGCTGAGTCATTTCCTCCCACTCTGCCTGCAGTGAGAGGCTGGTGGTTATCATAAATCACAGATCTAAATTCTTATGAGAGAGAAATTAATTTCCCTAATGCTCTAATAGGAACCTGCTGTGGTGATAACCTTCCTGCTTTCTCTCTCTTCTCAACAGTGATCTATGACATCTTTTGGGCAGATAGGATTCCTAAAAAGTGAGGAAACCCTATGGGAGGGATTAAAGAGACTTAACATTATCATGTGAAAGAATCTTTTTCATATATTGACTCTGATTTTTCAGCTGGTTCTCACCTGAGTCTCTAAAATCATAATGCAAGGATTTTAGTGGCTATCTTTTAAGGGACCAACTGTATAGTTAGAAGGGATAGAGAGAAGCTGTCACTCACAAAAATCTCACATTTTTCCTCACCGCGATAACATCATGTCATTTCTAAAGTCCCAGGAGTACTGGGAATCATGATTTTAGACAAGAAGCGATGTGCGCACAATGTCAGATCTATAAACAAAACACATCAAAGGTGTTTTAGCTCAAAAGCGCACTGCCACCATTTTCTCAGCGCTAACACGCATCTCACCATTTATACGAATGTATGTGATGCAGTGCTGGGCGCCTCACCTCATGCGCAGAGCAGAATCGATTGAGTTTGCTCCAACGCGCTGGATTTTTGGTACATTGGAGCAAACAAATGCATGTGCATAAATGCCCACAATGTCAGATCCATAAACAAAATCTGAAGGTTTTCCTCACTAGACAAAATATGCTTAGCTATTGATTTAAAGGTATTTAAGATGTCATTTGAAACAGAGTTGGGATACCTTGTGAATGGCCAAAAAGAATTTGCTTTCATTATGTTGGGGTTGGCTTATATCAAGTAAGTAAATAAATAAATAAGAAATAAGAAAGGTTGCTTAACTGGAAAAACAAGCACTGAAAAATC